GCAGCACAGGTGGAGCCTCCAGGCTGTAGCTGGTGTCTTGGCAGTGGTCCCTCCAGATGGCCCACCATTGCCATCAACAACACTCTAGCCTGGGCAACAGAGTGAAAGATGCCATTTCAAGAAAAAAAAAGAATAACAATCCTAAACATTTATACAAATTGTGAGCTTCAAAAATACATAAAATTAAAACTGATAGACTCACAAGGAGAATAGACAAAACCACAATTATAGACATTCAATACTCATCTTTCAATAATTACTTTTAAAATTAGAAGGAAATCAGCAAAGTATATACTAAACTTCTATAATACCATTAACCAACCAACAATAATCTAATAGTCGATACAATAGCAGAATATATTAATATATCCTTCTCAAATGTGCATGGAACATTTATGAAGACAGACCATGTTTTGGGCCACTGAGTCTCAACAGAGTTTAAAGGATTCAACTTGTATACAGTATGTTCTTTGACCACAACAAAATTAAATTAGAAATTAATATCAAAAAATCTCTAGAAACTCCCCAAATACTTAGAAACTGAAATAATCAAAGTTCAAAATATTCTTAACAGAATAAAAACAAAAACACATCAGAATTTGCAAGATGCTGCTTAGGGGAAAATTTATAGCACCGAATTTCTATAATACAAAATAAGAAATATCACAAATCAGAGACCTCAACTTCCACTTAAAATAACCAGAAAAAGAAAAGCAAATTAAACCCAAAGCAAGGAGAAAAAAGGAAATAATAAGGGGCAAAGTGGAAATTAATGGACTAGAAGATGAAAGACAATTTTAAAATATTGATAAATGAAAGTAGATTCTTTGTAAAGATAAAACTGACAAACTAGACTATCTGACAAGGGGAAATGGGAGAGGATACAAATTACTAATAGCAAGAATAAAAAAGGTGTAACATCACTATCCTTTTTGTAACAGATACAAAAAGGACAAGCTAATATTATAAACAACTTTATGCCACCTTATTCAAAATTGGCTGATTCTTTAAATGATACAATACTAAAGCCTACAATAGAAGAAATGTATAACCTAAACAGCCCCATATCTACTAAACTGAATTCTAATTTAAAACCTTCCCATAAAAAAAAAAAAAAAAAAAAACCTCTAGGTCCAGATAGGTTCACTGTGAATTCTGCCAAATGTTTAAGGAAGAAATAGTACCAATACTGTATAGACTCTTCAACAATACTGAAAACAACGGGATTCTTTTTGAATTATTCTTTGAGGATCACATTACTCTGATCCCAAAACTAGACAAAGACATTACAAGAAAACTACAGGTCAATATTCTTCATGAAAAATCCAACAATATATAAAAAGAATAATACATCACAGTGAAGCAGAGTTTTTCACAGGTTTGGTTTAATGTTCAAAAATCAAACATTGTAAATTACCACATTAAGAAACTGTCTTCTCAAAAGATACAGAAAAGACATTTGACAAAATCCACCCACATCCTACATTCCTGATATAAATTCTCACCAAACTAGAATTAGAAAAAAACTTCCTTAATCTGATAAAGGGTATCAACCAGCTAACAGAGAAAGACAGTATACTTAATACTTTAAAAAAAGACAAAGATCTTCACTTATGATTTGAAAAAAGACAAAGATTTCCACTTCCTTCATTTCTACTGAACATTGATATACATAAAGATCAATTTTACTTCTTCTTTTCCAATTTGAATGCCTTTCCCCACCTCCCTTTTCCTGCTTTATTGCACTGAAAATAAGAGAGGCATCCAAATTGGAAAGGAAGGGGTAAAATTGATCTTGTATGTAGAATATCTGATAGAATCTACAAAAAAAAGCTACTAGAACTCATATGCAAATTTAACAAAGTTGCAGGATACAAAATTAATATACAATAATCAATTGTATTTCTCTATATTGCCAACAAACAATCAGAAATTAAAATAAAAGAAAAATACAATAGCATCAAAATATATTAAATATTTAGTAATAGACCTGTCAAAAGTTATGAAAGATCTGTACAATATTAAAAAGAACTATGAAATATTGGTGAGAGATATTAAGGAAGACCTAAATAACTTGAGAAAAATATTGTGTTCATGGATCAGATGACTAAATATTGCTTTAACATGTAAATTCTCCCCAAATTGATCTGCAGATTCAATCCAATCCCAATCAAAATCTCAGCTAGCTTCTTAGAAGTTGAGAACTAATTCAAAAATTGATATAGAAATGCAATGGACCTAGAATAACCAAAACAACAAAATTAGAGGTTTCACATTACCTGATTTCAAGCCTTATTATAAAGCTAGAGTAACCAAGCATGGTATTGGACTACAGACAGACAAGTAGATTAATGAAAAATAGCCCAGAAGTAGACCCACACATATATGGAGAATTGATTTTTGACAAATCTTAAAACCCAGAGGAGAAAGAAATGGCACAGAACAAGTGAATATCTATGTACCAAAAAATATAATAATAATAACTTTACCCTAAATCTCAGAGTTATATGGGTACAAAAAAATTAATTCAAGATGGATCAGAGACCAAAATGTAAAACCTAAAACTCCTGCAAGAAATCTTAGTGACCTTATTTTAGGCAAAGATTTCTCAAATATGATACCAAAAGCATGATCCATAAAAGAGCCAATTGATAAACTGTGTTTCACCAAAACTTAAAATTGATGCTGTTCAATAAATACTATTAACAGAAAGAAAACTGAAGGCACAATATAGTTGCAAAGAATTTTTTTTTTTTTTTTTTTTTTTTTGTGAGACAGGGTCCCACTCTGTTGCCCAGGCTGGAGTACAGTGGCATGATCACCACTCACTGCAAGCTCCACCTTCTGGGTTCCATCGATTCTCCACCTCAGCCTCCCCAGTAACTGGGACCACAGGCACCCACCACCACATCCAACAATTTTTGTATTCTGGGTAGAGAAAGGGTTTCGCCACGTTGCCCAGGCTGGTCTCCAACTCCTGGACTCAAGCCATCCATCCGCCTCAGCCTACCAAACTGCAGGGATTACAGGCTTGAGCCATGGCGCCTGCCCACAAAGCATATATCTGAACAAAAGACTGGTGTCCAGAACGAACAAAAGGTTTGTACAGCTACTGTACCAAAGAATATATACGGATGGCATATAAGCACATTACAAAATGCTAAATATTATTAGTCAGTATGGAAATGCAAATTGAAACCACAGTGAGGTAAATAGTGAGCTGGTAAGGATGTAAAGGAACAGGAACTCTCATGTACTCATATTATAAACGCAAAATGATACAGCTACTCTGAAAAATAGTGTGGCAGTTTCTTAAAGCATTAAATGTATAGCTATCATGAGAGAGGGGAAAAAAGCATGTGTCCATATAAAGACGTGTGTACAGGAATGTTCTTAGCTTTATTTGTAACACTAAAAACCTGGAATAACTGAAATGCCCATGAACTGGTGATGGGATTAACAAATTGTGGGATATACATACAATAGAATATTTTTCAGGAACAATAATGAACTGTTGATACACACAGCAATATAGATAAATCTCAAAATAAATGCTTAGTTGATATAAGTCTGACAAAAAAAAAGAGTGCATTCTATATGATTCCATTTAAATAAATCTCTGGAAAATGCAAACTAATCTCTAGTAACAGCTGACTAGCAGATGGGGTGTTCAGAGAGAGGCATTACCAAGGGGCAGTAGGAAACTTTTGGGGTTTAGATGTGTTTATTATTGTGATTGTAGTGATAGCTGCACAGCTGTATCCGTTTAACAAAACTTATCAGATTATAGCCTTTAAATATTTGCTGTTTATGTCAGTTATACCTCAACAAATGTTTCGTTTTTGGTTGTTTTTTTTTTTTTTTTTTTGAGACAAGAGTCTCGCTCTGTTGCCCAGGCTGGAGTGCAGTGGCACCATCTGGGCTCACTGCAACCTCTGCCTCCTGGGTTCAAGCGATTCTCTGTCTCAGCCTCCCAAGTAGCTGGAATAGCGCGCCACACACCCAGCTAATTTTTGTATTTTTAGTAGAGACGGGGGTTTTACCATGTTGGCCAGCCTGGTCTCGAACTCCTGACCACAGGTGATCTGCCTGCCTCAGCCTCCCAAAGGGCTGGGATTACAGGCGTGAGCCACTGCGCCCGTTTTGTTTGTTTGTTTGTTTTTGTTTTTTAAGTATCTGCACTCCCTACTTGGGAGGGCTGGACTCAAATTCCCACCTCTCTTTCCCCTTACGGGGTTATATTAAGGTCTCATTCATACATCTCTAAACTTCATATATCCCAACAGGGACTTGGGCTGGGCTAGGAAGCCCTCTTCTTCCACTCACTGCAAGCTCCACTCGTAGCTGGGCTACGACTTAGCCACCCACCGTTTTCTCAAAGCTATTCCTTTCCCCACCCGACAGCTTAACCCAAGTCACATGTCACATTGGTCTCAAACCAGAAATAAGGTCCTGACTCCTCATTTCCCAAAATATTTCCATGAACCCAGCAATATCCTTTCCTGCCCTGATTATCCCGCACCCTCCATTTCGGGTCCTTATCACCCTGATCAATGAGAATTGTACTAGCAAGCAAATCTTAAATAGACCTCTATTTAAGAGGTCTATTTAATCATGCCCTTTCTAGATTGCAAAGTAGATAAAAATCCAGCTCTTCGTTAATTAAGGGGTTAATTACTGAGCATCATTTATTTATTGGGCAGTGGTTCTCAATATGTGAACCCAGGACTAACAGCTTCAGGATCACCTGAGAACCTGGGCTGCCGCCGCCGCCTCCCACCACTACTAAATCATCAACTCAGGAGTTGGGGGTAGCACTCAGTATTTTAACAAGGTCTCCAGGTGATTCTGACGCGCGCCACTCTTCTGGGGGTGCAAAAAAAACAGAGAGGACAGGAAGGAAGAATGAAAGCGCATCTACGAATCAGATAAGCGATAGGGGGAGGGGTGGTTATTTTTAAAATGATAACTAAGAACTCGTATGTAGTCAGAAAACCTACCCTGCCCCAGAGAGCTTTCCCGAAAGATAATGGATTCCGATATTCACCTCAAGAACCGGCAGACAGAGCAGCAAGGGATCTGCCGCCGGCCAAGCACGTCCCTGGCTAACGCACCGCTAGGGGCAGCTCGCGGCTGTTCAGGGTTAATTCTCGGCAACCCTCCCCGACCCGGTACCCCACCGCCGCCCGGGGCCTGTGCTATGATGAACCATAGAGCTGAGCACTCCTCCCAGATTCCTAGAGCGGACAGTGCAAAGGCGGGTTGGCCGGGTATGAGGTTTCACAGCGGTCCGGAGACCACATCGGGGTACGGTGACGTCGGCTCGCGGATAGCCCAGAAATTAGAGGTGATCTTCCCTAACAAGCGACCTCACAGCCCGGAAACTGTGCGCGGTTTCTCGAGACCTCGGAGAGTGATGGCCGCCGGGATCGCTCCCAGGCACGTAGAGCCTTTCGGTTCTCGGCCTCGTGTTCGGTTGGTCCCCAGTCAGCCCAGCTGGCCTTGGGTGCAACCAAACGAATGCCGGAAACTCTGTGGGGTGGGTGGAGTCACCAAGCGTGGTGTATCCACGTGAATCAGCCGACCGTACTGGGAAAGAGCCACCTGAATTTGTGAGTGTTGGAAAAAGCAAGAGGGGAAGAAAAATGATCAATAAGTGTCATTTTTTGATAGGAAGAGCAGCGAATATCTTAGTGTTAACCACTAGAATCGATTGTAAAATTCCCTCCCCTGCTCTGTCTTTCCAGTTATACATTTATTTTTGTAGTATTAACCCGTAATTTTGTTTGAACATCTCAAGACTTCGAATGGGGAATGTGTGTCTTAAGTGGGGTAATCCCTGGCTCTTGGATTATGGGGAGGAAGCCTAATACATTCTGAGAGAAAAGCAACTGGAAGTCAAATGAGATTTTGTTTTCTTGGCCAGGCGCGGTGGCTCACGCCTGTAATCCCAGCACTTTGGGAGGCCGAGGCGGGTGGATCACGAGGTCAAGAGATCGAGACCATCCTGGTCAACATGGTGAAACCCCGTCTCTACCAAAAATACAAAAAAAATTAGCTGGGCATGGTGGCGCGTGCCTGTAATCCCAGCTACTCAGGAGGCTGAGGCAGGAGAATTGCCTGAACCCAGGAGGCGGAGGTTGCGGTGAGCCGAGATTGCGCCATTGCACTCCAGCCTGGGTAACATGAGTGAAACTCCGCCTCAAACAAGAAAAGAGATTTTGTTTTCTCCTTCTTTTATATCTTGAGGATTTTGTGGTGGTCTGTTTCAGAGATTACATCTCTAGTCAGCACATTGATTCCCTTCCAAGCCCAGTGGTGCCCAGTTGCGTCCAGGTCCCAGACCTTTAAGTGGACAAGAAAAGCTTTCAGAGGAAATAGTAATTCTCCACTTGCTCTCTGAGGTATCCAGTTGCAGCCCATGGAGATCCAGTTCAATTATGAATCTCAGGAACATAACCTTCTGTCAGGTGAGCGTCAGGGTATTATATCTTTCTTAGTGGTTTTGGCAGGGTGGGGAGGATGAGGGGGTGTCACCTGTGCTAGTGTCTTCGAATGATTCCCCTTAACTCGGTTAGGCAGTATTACCCCTTTAGTGCACCAGGCATAGTCACATGACTTTATTTCAAAATCTGGCAATCAAATTCTCATGCAGCTCCCTCCACTTTTTTGAAACCCCAAAGTCATTCATTTTTCCCTGTATAATGACCTCATTACCAATCTGTTAGTTTTGGTCATTTTTCTTATCTACTGTAAGGGTAGAGTTAAAAGTTCTGGAGTCTGACAACCTGGATTCAACAGTAGTTTTGTCACTTAACTAGCTACAGTAAGTTACTCATATATTTTATAATTCTGTTTCCTCACTTTACAAGTGTATAGTAAGTCATACCTTGAAGTTATTTTTAGATTTGTATCTCTATATTACTCCAGAATAAAGAACCCCAAAATTTAGTGACCTAAAACATCAGGCTTTTTACACCACATTATTTCTTATGTTTCTGTAGGTTATCAACTTGAGCTGGGTTCACCTGGGCAATTTTTTTTTTTCTGTTGGTCTTTTCTGGGGTTACTTATGCGGTCATCTCAGGGCTGGCTATACTGGGGCCAGGGTCTAAGATGGTCTCAATCACATTGTCACAATGTCTGACTGTTGGTGCCAGCTATGACTTGAGTCCACATGTCTTCAGCAGGCAACCCTGGACTTTTTCACACGACAGCTTGTTTCCAGTCAAAGAGAAGGCAAGCTCTCCAATATATAGCACTTTTCCTACCTATGTTTGTGTTTCAACTGTTAATGTCTCATTGACCAAAGCAGGTCATATGACCAGTTCTAAAGTCATTGTAGAAGGAGACTACACAAGGATATATGTACTGGGAGATAGGATTCACTGGGGTACATTAATACTACAACAGGCCAGTTGCAGTGGCTCATGCCTGTAATCCCAACACTTTGGGAGACTGAGGCAGGAGGAATACTTGAAGCCGGGAGTTCAGGGCAAGCCTGAGCAACAAAGTGAGACCCCATTTCTATAAAAATTTACATAATAGTCAGGCATGGTGGTACCTCTAGTCCCAGCAATTTGGGAGGCTGAGGTGGGAGGATTGCTTGAGCCCAGGAGTTCAGAGACAGCAGTGCACCACTGCACTACAGCCTGGGGGACAGAGTAAAATCCTGTCTCTAAAAAACACCAATAAAAAAACTAAAGAAAATCTTAATGTAAAACTCTGAGCACAGACTTTGCTTACAGAAAATTCTTTATAATTGGTAGCCATTATTATTTTATATAAGAAAATTTTGATCTCAGCTTTGTTCAGGTGTTCTGTAGGGTCTCATTTCCACATCATATGTTACTTCTTTTTGGTTTGTCCTCTCATTGCTGCTGTTTTTCCTGAGTCACCTTCCATTGTCCCTTTTTTCACTCTAGATCTTCTGCTTCTTATTAGTTTTTGAGGATCTTTTTTTTTTTTTTTTTTTTTTTTTTTTAGTTTTTCTCTCCTGTGTCTAGAACTTGTCCTTCTTTAATAATCTATTTTAAGACATCTAGCTCTTATCTTTCCTGAGAATCTCTGCAGAATTGTACTTCCTCCTTGCAGTTTTACATAAATTGATATATTTAGTCCTTGTGTTTATGTCTTTTAGAGTATGTATAAAATAACATTTTATTATGGAGTAATACAGTTATACTAAAGTCAATTTGTAAAGTATGAGAACACAAAACAAAATTTAAATAGCCTTCAGCCCCGCCCTCTAGAAATAGTCACTGCTAACATTCATATATCCTTAAAATCATTTTTCTAATGAATTCACCAAATATTTATTATTGATAAATGTTTGTTAATTAATAAGATCATACCTTATTAATTACTAGCCATATAATATGATGATTAGTTATTAACGCTTTGCCCTGTGCCAATAACTGTTCTAAGTGCTGGTGATATAGCAGTGAACTGAACACACAAGGCCTTTGCTGTCAAAGTGCTTACATGCTAGTGGAGGGAAGGGCAAAATAAATGAATGTTCATTATATTATCAGATAATAATAATGGTTATGGAGAAATTAAACCAGGGTATATCAGTCAGGATTCTAGCAAGAAACAGATGGCTCATGCTAGTGCAGTAATTCGAAATTTCATGAAGAGGATGGGGATGATTACAGAAATCAGCACTGGGAAGCAGTTACTACCTGTAGATCTTCAGGGACAAGGGGAAAGATTGATTACCAGGTCCTGGAAAGTATAGCTGTAGGATTTAGCCACCTGATAGGAGCTCCAGCCTTTGCTAAAAGGCTCATCTACTGGCCCAGCAAGGAGACAGCCAGGATGTAGGGTGACAAGTTCATCCCAATTTGCCTGGAATTTAGCACTGAAAGCTGCAATAGCCCCTTCAGTTTTAGGCAAACCAGTACAGTTAGTCACTCTACTATTTTCCCATTTGGGTCCAAATCTACTTGCATACCAGAGGGCGTGGAACCCCAAGTGATGCAGTCCATCAACATCAATCTCCTGGGGCACAGAGCAGGGTGAAGAGTAGATCTGGAGGGGTGAAAGGAGAATATTCATTATAGTATGTCACTTTTATCCTGCCATATCCACCCCAACATAGCAGAAAAACAGAGTCCCTTAAACTGTCATTTCATTTCAGGTTGACATAATTAAATCATATTCCCATCTGAAGCCCGGAATTTAACTGCCACTAGTGCTCTTCATATAAAATGGTGAGGGATAATTACAGCTCCTGTTTTTGCTATTCACAAAGCCTAAGCTGATAATCCTAATTATCTTCTTCCATTATCCATTTTATATCTCCCTTACTCTCTGCCAGTACCTCAGTGCTTTCCTGGATGATCTGAGTCCTCAGTAATCCTGCTTCTTTCAGGCTGCTTCAGTGTACTGTTGACTAGGCCTATGAGAGGACTAAGACATATCCCAGTGAATCCTTGAGTTCCAGACATATTCTTTCTTGACCTTCTATGTAGCAGCAACCAGTTCCCCCTTGGTAATTGGGATCAGTTATCCTGGCCAGTAAAGTGATCCCTTCTATGTTGGTTCAGCAGCATGAGGATCCCAAAATGACCAAGAGACAGTTTCATCTTTGAATTTAACAAAATCATGACTTTGTTCCATGGTGGAAACATTTCTCCTTTGAGCACTAGAACTTCAAACTCAGCATGCCACAATTACAGGGATAGTAAGCAAAAATAATACAGGCGAATAATTAGGTCTCTAATAAGAGGACCATTCTCACTCCTCCTCCACCCTTGGTTCCTGTCCCTGTGTATGTATTCTGGCCATGGAGAAAAAAAGCAATATTTATTGTCCTTTGGTTTAAGGCATGTATTGCATCTATATGACCACACCCCAGATTTACAGGGTGTTGTGTTGTTGGGTAGGTGGCACTGTAACTGAGCCTTAGCAGATCATTCCACGTATTTCTGGATGATGGGGCATATGGCAAGACCTGTGAATTGCATGTATGCGAACTCACTGCTATACTTTCTTTCCTGAAAAATGAGTTATTTGGAGGCAGCTTGCTATCAAATACCTGGTAATAAACATAACCTTATCTTACATAAATGCAAATTTGTGTCTGGACTAAGTATTTAATATTTTGTAAACAAATTGCTGCTCTCTTTTTGATAGAAGTGGTTCAGTGTGATGAATCTGCCCCCATTTCCAGGGAATGGTACCTTTTTAGGGGCTTGGTTTTGGCCTTAGCTGCTTGGGTACATAGCAGTTGTGTTAGGCATATCAGCCTTCATGAGGGGAGGTCAATATTGTTAAGCCCATGTAGAGTTTTCATTCCCACTGCCATGACTACTTTGTACATGAGCCTATTGGATAAGCATTGGAAAAGAAGCTCATTGAAATTCATAAAATAGATCACCATGTCTGTCTGATG